TGTGATTGAAAAGAAATTGAAGGAAAAGTATTTTGGTTTTGTTTTTGTGTAGCAAATTTGTAAACAACGGATGAAGGAAATTTCAACGNATTTCGGATTTATTGTTAATTGGCTAGCCAAAATAAAGTAAGCATGGAAGAAAAGGTTGTGATTGAAAAGAAATTGAAGGAAAAGTATTTTGGTTTTGTTTTTGTGTAGCAAATTTGTAAACAACGGATGAAGGAAATTTCAACGAAAACACCAACAGTCGGTGTGAACAGCCTTCAGCCCAAAATCCCAAAACTTGTTTTCAAAGTGTTTTCGTGGTCGGTCAGAACACGGTATAACAGAGCGTAATTTGCCAAAGAACGTAAAACCACTACAAAATTGTTGAAGCTGCCGGCGCGCCGCGGCGGTAGTGTAGCAAAGCTATTCCTAGTCTAGATATGAACCACGTTGTAGGCATCATATCAAGGAGATACAATTAGAAGACTCCAGATGTCGCCCCGCCAGAAGAAGTTAAATATTGCGCCTGAATATATGCCATGCTAGAGCCGAAATGGACGACACGCCATTTCTTCAAATAAAATTAACTGCTGCTATATGTACATATGTATGTTTATACAAAACGTAAGCAAACAACATTTTGATTGCCAAGTCTTCTGTTCCCTTTCATTGCAAGTTGAATTATTTTAATATCTATTGCAAAATTTTAAACATAAAATAAAATAAAACTTTTTAATATACAACGCTTTTATAAATGGACTAAAAATTATAAAATAATATAATCTAAAAAAAAAAAATTTTTAAAACAAGCTTTTATTTAACCTGTACATTCAAAGGAATAAAATGAAGTAGTGTAACAAAAGATTCTTTAGCAAGAAAGTTGTGTCAAAACTGCGTACATGCATAATTGGTTAGGTATGTATGTATGCAGATATTTAAATGCTGGTTTGCTATTCGCGCGACAGGCATTTTTAAAAACGAAGTAAATTAGTACAAATTGTTAGTAATTTTCGTTAGAGTTTGAATAACTCCTTTCACTAAATGGCTTTTAGTAACTTTAACGAGACCTTAACTTATTTTATTTTATTCATTTTAGTGCAGTTTTGACAACACTTTCGTGCAAAAAAATCTTTTGTTACATTACTTCATTTTATTCCTTTGATCGAACAGGTTAAGTAAAAGCTTGTTTTTAAAAAATGTTTTCTTTACATTATTTTATTTTCGATTTCACATACATATATGATTTAAAAACATAAAAAAATCATTGCCGACGAACTGTTTTAAATAAATGTGAGGTTATTTCAAATTACCTTTGCGAGTTAGAGAAGGTCGAGAACGCTCCCCAGACTCAAAAATTAAGATAAGTACAATAACTGCCATCCCTAAATTGGCGCGTCAAGCGTCAAAAATCCTCATGCCCGTACAATTTGTATGAAGCATCCCACAATAACGCGGCGCTAACGCCGAGCAAAAGGAATTTTCAATTTTGACAGCGCGTTAAGACATGAAGTTGGGTGCTGAAAGCAGAAGTGAGAAAGAAAGAGGACAAAAGTAAGAAGGAGGAGAAGCAAAGACAAGGAGAATTTGACAATTGATTTAAAATATTTCATATTTTACGCGGTCAATCAAGAAGATGGATGTAAGAATTTTAATTAATATTTCCTTTTTACATTAATACTTGTAGCAATTTTAGAATTTGACAGAAAAACTAATTGAAATGGTTCAAGCGCACCCGTGCTTGTTTGACAAGAGGGATAACCAATATAAAGACGTGAAATACAAAGAAAAATTATGGGAAAGTGTATGCAAGGAGCTAAATTATCCGGGTAGGTAAAGCAAAATTTTATATGTATTTGTACATATGTAAGTATCTTCCAGATTAACTTTATATGTACATACCTCTTGTTTCAGTAAAAGACTGCAAAACAAAGTGGAAAAGTCTCCGGGATCGATATAGGCGGGAAAAGAACGGTGACGACCGCCCATCTGGCTCGTCCCAAAAGCTGGGTGCGGTTTGGAAGTTTAGGGAAAGTCTGGCGTTTCTATCAGACTCAATGGAACCGGCAAGGTAAATAAAAAACGTATTTCTTCCTCCTTATTATTGCAAATTTCTATTAAAAAATTACCAATTTTTTGTACTTCCTGGAAAATGCATTTAGAATAAAAAATATGCAGTAAAAGCATACATATGTATATATGTAACTAGTTGACAGTGCCCCAGTGAAAAAGTAACGTTTCTTAAGATGTATTTGTAAAAGGATTATTTTGCATATACTTTGTTCTTTGTTAACATATCTGCAAAGTAATGGGACTTTGTTTAATACTTATTTCATTCCTTATATGGATATCTATTTTACATAACTGCTAACATTCGCATACATCAGTATCTTTATTTAATCATTTTTCGTTACTTTATATTTTCAGCACAACCTCGAATATCGTTGAAGAAGATGAAAGCGTCGTGGAGTGGTTGCATGGCGAGAATTCGGATGCTTCGCCGCAAACACCCACTCTAAAGAGGAAAATGAATGATGTGAAACTAACGCAATGAAGCAAATGGGGGCGCACAAGAAAAAAGCCAAGCATGAAACCTTCTTTGCCTTGCTAGGCGAGAGGTTGGACAGGTTCCTTGAGCATGAGGTTGACGACGTTCAGGTTGAAATACTACAACTAGTCAACCGTAAATTAAATAAAAATAAGTAATTGTCAATTAAATTAATTATATTTATGTATGTATTATAGTACATCGATTATTTGACAATATTCGCCTATGTTTTACATGCTAAATTTTTGTTATAAACTTTGTTCAAAAATACATATATGTAGTTCAACGTATGTATAACAAAACGCACATAAACTAAAGCTTCAAACTTTGTACAAAATTTAGAAAAAATCAACAAATAACTATTTAAATTTTTTAATTAGAATTTATAAAAAAGTTTTTGATATACAGTCTGTATGTGGCTAATTTAATTTAAGTGTTATAAAGAGCAAATTTGAAGTCTCAAAATTTCCGTTGATTTTACGTGGATTTCCACAAATTTCGAAAATTTTGAGACTTCAAATTTGCTCTTTATAACACTTAAATTAAATTAGCCACATACAGACTGTATATCAAAAACTTTTTTAAAAATTCTAATTAAAAAATTTAAATGTTATTTGTTGATTTTTTCTAAATTTTGTACAAAGTTTGAAACTTTTGTTTATGTGCGTTTTGTTATACATACACTTGTGATCAGCTAATTAAGCCAGCATCATTTTGATAAATTTTGGCTATTTTCCGATTTTTTAGAATTTTTTTGAGTATGCAGTTTAATATCCCATCAAATTCTAGGGTAATTATGTGCAAGTCTTAAGTTGCTAAAAAATCGCGTTGATTTTTAATAATTTTTTTTCTGACTTCATGACGCATTTTTTTTATACAAAAAAATTGTCGAATTTATGTCGGAATAAAAAGTTGAAAATCTGGCTGAAACTTTGCAGATTTTTCATAATTTTTGCACAAAGTTTGAAATCTGGATTTATATGGTGTTTGTTATATAATGAGCTAACTTTTATGGAAAAATAATAAACATTAAATAAACGAAACCAAAATAGCCAAAATTTATCAAAATGATGCTGGCTTAATTAGCTGATCAGACAGATCTTGACAGTGTCAATGTTTAAAGAGCCATAAAGCGATACATTTTTGTAAGCAACATCTTATTTAATACAATATATTTATTTAATTTAATATCTATTATTATTTACATTAAAGGTGCTAACTCATTTTTCAAATCCAGTTTCATGCAAGTCAATAAATTACTCACTTGAAAAGTAATAGAATTGAAAAACAATTATGGCACTATATTACAGCCTTCAATAAAAATGCGTTTTAAAGGAATCCGCAGATAAGAAACTTCAGTTTTTAATATTTTTTTAACCACTATTTTCGTTTGTTATTTAATGTTTATTAATGTTTTAAAAAAATATAGCTCACCATTATGTAACAAACTCCATACAAATCACCTTTCACCAAAATCAGTGTTGTCCTGTGTGATTTATTTGTAAGTACGTATGGAAGAAAATTCACAAATCCGTCAGCAAAAGAAGATTATCAAAAATCAATGGGATTTTTAGTAGCTTCACACTTGCTTTTTCTTACCCCCAATTTTAATGAACTATCAAACTTCATTCTTAGAATTTGAGGGAACAAAGAAAAGAAAGAAAAGATTTTTATAAATGTTTTGTTTTTCTTTTACAATGTTTTAAAGTTAGGTTTTTATGGATTTTGTTAGAAAATGAGCTGTATTTTGATTCAAATTCACAAAAATAAACAAATACACAGAAGTGGCAAACAATAGCACTTTGTAATGGGGGTAATATTGATATGACCGGTACTATACATACACTGACAATCAAAAGTGAGTGCATGGTTCTTTTTATTTAATATGTGCTATGGTTTACAAGTAAAATATTTTTTTGTTATTTCTTTTATAAAAATATGATTCATGCTTTAATTAAAACTACATAAGTCAAACTTTTAAAAATTTTGACCTTTTTAATCTGAATTTTCAGAAAAATGTTGAGTTCGCAGATAGATCAGGTTTTTATTTCTAGTAAAAAATCGCGTTGATTTTTAATGAATTTTTTTCCGACGGATTTTGCGGTTTTATGCAAATGTATAACAAGTGCAATTTATAAAATATAGCGCTATTTTTTGTAATTTGGTTTGCAAACGGTCATGCGCATTTTATTCTAGAAGAAATTCCCTTTTATATGGTAAAAAGTGCAAAAAGCCGTCAGCAACAAAAAATCATAAAAAATCAACGCGATTTTTTTGCCGCTTAAAACTTGTACTTGTTTAACTAGAATTAAGAAACCAATCAATCTGCGTACTCAGATTAAAAAGGTAAAAATTTAGACGAAAATTCCTTGAGTTTTCCTAAGTTCTGTATAAAGTTTGATAGTTTGACTTATGTAGCTTAAATTAAAGCATGGACCATATTTTTATAAAAATAGCAAAAAAATATTTAACTTGAAAAACATTGCAAATGTTAAACAAAAAACACCATACACTCGCTTTTGATTTCCAGTAAACAAGTACAGAACTAGCAGTATGTATACATTTGAATGAGATCTTGCTGCATTTTTAAGTCATGGCAACACTTTGTGACTTTTTCAGTCCGTACATTTATTATCTTAACAATATTTGGGGTGTTCACGTCTACATTTTGAGACACCATTTGGAACGAACTGTGAACACCCCAATTCATTTCAAAGATGAACTTTTGAGTTGGTTTTGGTGAGCTTTTGATTAGAATTTAAAGCGAACAAAGTTTTAGTTTTTGTATTTGTTTTCATTTGGTAGATAATTCGACTTCTATTAGCTTCCAAAGTTTATTTCTGATTTATGTCGAAATATAAGCCAAATGAAAACAAAAAAAAATATAAATACAAAAAAAGATTTGATTTTGAAAAAAGATTCCCTTTAAGCTCACGAAAAGTAGTATTATATGCTATTGACAGCTAAAAAGCTGACATCTAAAAATAAAAAATATTGTCCCATGACCCTCGGCGAATCTACTGCAACGCCTTCGCGATTCCTTTGCTATGTATTGACTGCCACCGAGCCAGTAAAGTACCTGCATATATATATGTATATAATTATATGCATAAATATTTGTTAGACATGATGGATATGTAAATACTTACTTGGGGTAACGATTAGTGGAAATTTAAATTCGTATGACAGAAATCAAGCAAATGCATATAACTTCAGCTTCGCTGCATTCAACGAGAAAATTTACTGAAATACATATACATAAATGACATTAGTGTCAAGAAAATTAAAACTAACATCAGTAATATTTAATGAGAGCATTTGAAATTTATTGCATTTTCCCGATTAAAAAATACATATGTATGTCTGCTAATAAGCGACCAACTTACCAAAATGAAAATAAAATAGTAGTGGTCTTCATATCTAAATTCTTCATTGCACTTCACATCTTAAGTGTTTCCAAAAGAATAATAACGGTTAATGGCCGCTTATGGATTTCCAAAAACAAAAGAAAAGCCCCATATTCAATCTGAAATGGAAATAATGAATTAGTGCTTTCTTTCCTCACATATGTTTGTATGGGTAGTGATTTTCATAAGTAAAAATTAATGTACATGAATTCGACAAAATTTTCCTTTAATTTTCATGAAACTTTTTGTTCGAATTCGAGTTGTTACGCATTTTCTTCCATGTAAAGTATGTTCGAAAATTCTTTATATAAGAGAAAATGAGCAACACTTTCCTTCGGGGTGTATATTTATGTAAGCTGTGAGAGACTGTATACTGGGTGTCCAATAAGTAGCCTGAAAAAATCGAGGAGAAATATTGATATTTTTTGGAAACATTGATTTTTTTTTATTAAATAACGGAGCTTTTCTGTTTTCCTAAATTTTTCATGGTTTCTTAATATGATTTATTTTGGAACGAATTTCCGTCATCCCTTGTCGAGCTTGTGTTGCTTCTGAAAAGCAACTATCTGGAAGTATTTTACAGAAAAAAAGGAACAAAGTATAGCCTTATTAGTAAATGCAGCTAAAGAAAACACATGAAAGGGCCGTTTTTTTGTTTTAATTAAAAAAAAATCAATATTTTAAAACGGTGACACTTTTCTCCTTAAGTTTATCATGCTACTTATTCGTCACCCTATATATATGGATGTTCATATATATAACCAAGGTGTAATAAACAAGGTGTGATTGACAACTCAGGTAGGCTCTCTTTTAAGGTGCTATTATGCCAAAAAATATAAACAAGCGATTCAAAATGCATACAAAGTTTTTCAATTTGACTTTATAGGATGGTTTCTTCTGAGAGCAATGTCAAATTCAATCACACTTTGTTGAATACATTTTGTATATAACTTACTATTCCACATATTTATTTACCTCTAGTTGTTTAAAAAGTACTCACGCAATATGTTTCTGTTTTGCAACGCCTCTTGTGGTGATGCATTGGCCGTATTTAAATCATTGCGGCTGACGCTATGGAGGCTAAAGATGTCTTCACTTTCGTCCGATGAAACAGAAGATTCAGTGGATAACAAAAGGCGCAGGTAGTTATGCAGGACTATAGTAGCCAATACAACCTAAATATGTGAAAAATATTAGTACAACTATATATGCACCTAAGATTTACATTTTAAACCTTCTTTGCATTTGCCGGGGAAAGTCCTATGCATATCCTTAAAATTCGCCAACGTGATGAAAGGATACCTGGTTTAAATAGTGTTTTGATACATACATATGTATATACGTACATCTTAGTATTATAAGAAACATTAACTAATACATATGTATATAATTTGGAGTTCAATTACCAAAAGCTATTTCAATTCTAATTCTGGCACTAGAAACACGTTTGTTAAAATTTTCTCGGGAGGAATCAGGTACTTGTGAATATGGCTTAATAAAGTAGTTGCGCAAAGGAAAGGCTGCGTCGCCAACAAAATAATGCGGAAAAATTTGTGTTGACCCAGGTAGGCAAGTAGCGGCTGGAAGTTTGATTGAATTCGTTGCTAACATTTTACCAAATTTGGAGTTTCTAAAAACTCCACCATCACTTTGGCTTCCATAAGCACCTACGTCAACCAAAGTAAATGCATAGTTGGTATCGCATGCAGCCATCAAAACCTTAATATTTTATAAGAATTGTAAGTTATATTTACAGAAAATAGTTTAGCAAGGTATATACTTACAATGCTGTTAAATTTTTTATAACTGAAGTACTGTGATCCGGAGTTTGGTGGACAGTTTATATGTATGTGTTTGCCGTCCACCGCACCTACACAGTTTGGCAACTTACATTTCTCCCAAAATTCTTTTGCTATGTCCTTCCATTGAGATTCCGTAGGAGGAGTAACATAAAGGCTCGATAAAACGTCCCATACTACGTCACAGGTTTCCAAAATTATACGCCTTGCTGTCTCCAGTCCAATCCTAAACTTCATCGAAATAATATGCAGCGAGCATCCGTGTGCTAAGTACCTATGGCAAATGAATGTCGTAAATGAATCCAGCAAAAATATTACAAAATACTTACTCCAAAGTAATAAACAGCCTATGTTCAGGCTCAATGGGTTGCCTTTTCGAATATTTGCGAAGCCATGGTTCAATCAAATTTAAAAGAGCATCAAACTGTGCACAAGTCATACGCGTTGTCTTGAAGAAAAGGTCTGGGTTTTTGTCTATTAAAATTTTCACACCTGATGTGTAAAACCCAGATGTTTTTCGCGTTTTAAAGATTTCTCGGTTCCCTTGCCTGGTATTCTGTGAAATCATTTCCAAAAATAGCAAATCCTCCAGTACGTCGATGGAGTCCATTTTTTAGGTTAGGTTTTCTGGTCCAGCAATGCTTGAACTTTGATGTGCTGCTCCTGCGGTGGAATTTACAGGATCTATTGATCTTAACAAAATTGCAATTGTTTTTAACTTTATATTAAAATGTGCACATATATTTATTGTAATATATGTATGTTACCAATTTCACAGCTTCACCTTTTCTGTGCACAGAACCGAATAAATTGAAACGCCAAGCAACGAACTTCGAGATAAAAAGAAAACGTAAAATGTTTGACGCGCTTATTTGGGTATAGCGCGCGCTGACACTCGTTGGCGCTAGAAAACCCAACGCTTGGCGCGCCAATTTAGGGACGACAGTAAGAGTATATTTTGCGAGATGCAAGTTTAATCAAAACCACTTGAAGGATTGAGCAATTTCGTGTCCAAAAAATAAACACTGTACGATAGTTAATAAGGAAATGGTTAATATGTTGCCCGGATAAGAAAATGTTTACTATGGCATCGATACTGTCGTTTCTGAATATCCACAGGAGCAAGTAAGATTCGCCACAAAATTTTTAAACTCTCTAACACTTTTTAATTTTTCTTGATTTAGTAGCCATTTATAATGGAATTTGTCAGCTAGAGAAGTGAAGTGATTGAAAGTCATAATTTATTCGTTGATATCGTCACTAGACACGAATAAAGGCGTGAGCTCAAAAGTTGACCGCGAAAAAAGGCGCATAAAAAAAGTTCAGCGAAGAAAGACTCTTTAACATAGGTGACGGCGAAGAAAGACGCGTTAAAGTATTTGACGGCGAAGAAGGACGCGTAAACTTATTTTCGCGGTCAACTATGTTTGCGGTTGTAATAGTATGTACATTCCGTAAATAGCTTTTGGCGAATAATGCTGAAGTGACAGTCCTTGGCCAAGCATAAAGCTATGATTACGCGTCTTTCTTCGCCGTCACCTATGTTAAAGAGTCTTTCTTCGCTGAACTTTTTTTATGCGCCTTTTTTCGCGGTCAACTATGTTTGCGGTTGTAATAGTATGTACATTCCGTAAATAGCTTTTGGCGAATAATGCTGAAGTGACAGTCCTTGGCCAAGCATAAAGCTATGATTACGCGTCTTTCTTCGCCGTCACCTATGTTAAAGAGTCTTTCTTCGCTGAACTTTTTTTATGCGCCTTTTTTCGCGGTCAACTATGTTTGCGGTTGTAATAGTATGTACATTCCGTAAATAGCTTTTGGCGAATAATGCTGAAGTGACAGTCCTTGGCCAAGCATAAAGCTATGATTACGCGTCTTTCTTCGCCGTCGAAACACTAGCGCGCCTTTATTCGTCTCTAGTGACGATATATGAGTACCTTTCTTAACTGAGATGACTAACCTTTTGAAATTTTTCGAAACAGTTAAAGAAATTTCAACTTAAAAGGAATAGAGCAAAAACAACATTTATGTGTATTTTGTTGTTGATTGTCTTATCTAAAGTGTCAAAAACTGTTCTGATTTTGAGCAAAAATCAAAAGTTAAGTTTGGAAACACATTGGTGCGATTTTTTTTTCTTAGTAAATATTGTTTGCTTCTCGAAGCATTGATTCATCATATACAAGGCCCAGAAATCAGCGTTTGTGCTTAGGAGTTAGGGGAACGCTCCAAACGTGGCTTTTCAATCGCTTGTTTTGTATGGGAAAAGGTTTCACATGCAAAAAGATTTTGAAAATTTTGTGAGAAAAGATTAAAAATATTTGACATCTTAGAGACCGAATAATTTGAAAGAAAGCCAAATCAGCTGCTCTACCTGTTCAATGTGCCTTGGGTAGTACATAACAATAGTTGCGTTCCAGATGCTTCACGATTTGCAGGTTTTTACAGGAAGTCGTTCCAGGTGACCACCTCCCATAAGGTTTATTAATGGAGAAAACAGCTGTTCCTGCAAATCGTGAATTTCGTGAATATCGTGAAGCATCTGGAACGCAACTATTGCAAAGAAGTACATTTGACTGTACTTCGAAGTACGAAGTACAATGGCTCAAAAAGAAGTACTGTACTTCCGAAAGAAGTACGGTTGGTCACATTAGGAATGACCCATATGTACATATGTGTGTGTGGGTGTACGTTGATGCACATGCATATTTTTAGTTACAACGTTTTTCTTATCTCATTTGGATGCACATATGTGTGTATGTATATTAGAGTGGCCTTAATGAACCGATTTTTGAAAACCAAAGGTTTTCGCACGGAAAAATATGAGGTTGGGTATAAAAATGGCTGCAATTTAGTTTGGCATCCCCGGAGTTCCGCATTAAAGTAGCTATGGAACGATAGAGGGAGTTCTCCTGATTGCAAATATATATACTTTTAGCCGCAGCAGGCTTCTAGTTTTTAAGTTATTTGTTGTTAAAGTTTGTAAATTGAACTAACCTCTCGGCGCTATTTCACACAATAAACACTTTATTTATGTGCACACTTCGGCAAAATAGTTGCATTAAAACCCCGGCCTGAGATTTAATATACAATTCTTAATTAATTAATTAAGTAAAACACGTTTATAAATGTCTTCACAAATGTCTTTAAATTTGCCGTTTCAGCAGCCAGCTCTCCATTCTTCTGCATAACCCTCTCTTCCGATTTCATCATTACCGCAGTCAACTGTTGTCTCTCTACTCTTTTATTTTTTTCCCCATCCTGTCAAACATAGCTGATGCCGGCGTGAGAGGAGTTTTAGGGGGGATTAGTGATAGAACTTTTCAGAAAGGTATCGGTACTAGTACTCATATAGAATACTCTAAAAAAGTATCGATGCCAGTATTCATATTTGCAAAAAAGTATCGATAATACTCGTACTCCCAAGTATTCTCAAAGCAAACGCGAAAATTAAACAAAAATCAGATTGCTTTGCTTTTTTCACCTCTTCCTATTTGTAAATTGAATAGTCATAGCTCCTAATAGTTTTAATCTGATCTAAAGGAGTTTATGGAATAAAATTCTACTTTATTTACATGCGTAAATTAAATGTTTATAGCAAAAAGCTTATTTCCAAGTTTTTAAAAGCTAATATTTTATAATTTTTTGACGCGTACATGTAAATAACTTTAGTTTGAAAATGAAATGCAAATGTAGAAGACGAGAATCTAATGTGTTGAAGCCCATTCTCTATTGGGAAAATAAGATCTCTTTTATAAAAATTTTCTTCAAGAATGGGCTGGATTTCACAACGAAGGTAGCATACATGGGTTAACGACGGCTGCCTTATGCTGGAGAGTGGCCAAGTTGTCGAGTTCATTATCAAAGGGGAGGCAAGATATTCGTTTTTCAATTATTTAAACATTTTTACCTGAAGCCAATGTTGAAATGACCGTTACATTTTCTTCTAGGTTGTGTAAAAATTTCATAACTGTGTCAAACAAAATATGTATTAATTATTAGTATGGGAGTATACATATCGTCACCCGTATTCCATAAACATTAATGTTTAAAAAAGAAAATTTTGGGAAATCAAGTTTGAAAGTTTTTTTTGCAAGACTTACAGCCAGTTTCACCAAATTATTTAAGTGAAAATTACTTAAATTTTCGAATTTTTGGTTTCACCAATCAATTTTAATTTTGATTTAAGTGACCTATGCTCTTCACTTAAATAAAAATTAAATCAGAATAAGAACACTCAGAGGTGTTACACGTTTAATCACCTGATTATTTTGTATCTGCTGCTTACTTGTATACCAGCCCTGCTTTTACAACCAAAGCTTTCAAAAGCTCTCAGTACAAATGAAAGCTTTCGCTGGCCTAGTCTGTTTTACAACCACTTTTTACTCACTTAAATAAATAGTTTATTGAAACTGAAAATTATTTAAATGAGAATTAAATACAAAATTAAATTAAAGTTAATTTCCACTTAAATAGTTTGGTGAAACTGGCTGTTAGGCTGCGTTTCACCAGATTCGTTTAAGTGAAAATTCCTTTAATTTTCGAATTTTTGGTTTCACCAATCAATTTTAATTTTTATACCCGAGCGCACTTGTGCACAAGGGTATTATAACTTTGTTCACATAACGGTTGTTTGTAACAGGCAAAACGAATCGAGATAGATATAGACAAATGTATACATAAATGATCAGGGCTGCCTTATGCTGGAGAGTGGCCAAGTTGTCGAGTTCATTATCAAAGGGGAGGCAAGATATTCGTTTTTCAATTATTTAAACATTTTTACCTGAAGCCAATGTTGAAATGACCGTTACATTTTCTTCTAGGTTGTGTAAAAATTTCATAACTGTGTCAAACAAAATATGTATTAATTATTAGTATGGGAGTATACATATCGTCACCCGTATTCCATAAACATTAATGTTTAAAAAAGAAAATTTTGGGAAATCAAGTTTGAAAGTTTTTTTTGCAAGACTTACAGCCAGTTTCACCAAATTATTTAAGTGAAAATTACTTAAATTTTCGAATTTTTGGTTTCACCAATCAATTTTAATTTTGATTTAAGTGACCTATGCTCTTCACTTAAATAAAAATTAAATCAGAATAAGAACACTCAGAGGTGTTACACGTTTAATCACCTGATTATTTTGTATCTGCTGCTTACTTGTATACCAGCCCTGCTTTTACAACCAAAGCTTTCAAAAGCTCTCAGTACAAATGAAAGCTTTCGCTGGCCTAGTCTGTTTTACAACCACTTTTTACTCACTTAAATAAATAGTTTATTGAAACTGAAAATTATTTAAATGAGAATTAAATACAAAATTAAATTAAAGTTAATTTCCACTTAAATAGTTTGGTGAAACTGGCTGTTAGGCTGCGTTTCACCAGATTCGTTTAAGTGAAAATTCCTTTAATTTTCGAATTTTTGGTTTCACCAATCAATTTTAATTTTTATACCCGAGCGCACTTGTGCACAAGGGTATTATAACTTTGTTCACATAACGGTTGTTTGTAACAGGCAAAACGAATCGAGATAGATATAGACAAATGTATACATAAATGTCAGAATGAAAAGAGAAATCGATTAAGCGGTGACTGTCTGTCCGTCCGTCCGTCTGTGCACACGATAACTCGAGTAAAAATTGAGATATCTTAACGAAACTTGGTACGTGAACTTCGAGGGACGGATGGTATTGAAAATGGGCGAAATCGGATAATAACCACGCCTACCTCCCATATAACGGTAATTTTAAGAAATACGAAAACTGCGATATTTTAGTAACTACTGAAGATAATTCACTCAAAATTGATACTTACAATGAGTTTCAGACGGAAAATATGAATATTATAAATTTTTGGAAAATGGGCGTAGCCACGCCCACTTATGGTTACATGTGTATATCTTGGTAACCGCTGCACCAGTTTCTTCCAAACTTGGCACAGTTGTTGGCCTTAGTACAGCATACTAAATGGCTGAAAATTTGCAATGAGTTTTAGACGAAAAATAAGAATATTACAAAATTTTGGCAAACTGGCGTAGGCACGCCCACTTATGGTTACATGTGTATATCTTGGTAACCGCTACACCAATTTCTTCCAAACTTGGCACAGTTGTTGCTCCTAGTACAGCATACCAACTGGCCGAAAATTTCTAAAATCGGACAATAACCACGCCCACATCCCATATAACGGTAATTTCGAG